GCAGATAGGAAAACGTTAACTTAAAAATTAAAAAGCTCTATGATAAAGATTAAAATTATTAATTATAAACTTTAATTAAAAATAATACAGATAGATTGGAATATTGTAAAAATTTGGCTAAATAATTTATAATTATAAATATTATAATTTATAAATTAAAAATTTTGATAAATTTTCGATCGAATAGGTAGGGATACTAAAAAATTCGGACAAATAAAAAAATGTTATAAAGAATTTAAAGAATATGATATATATATATATATATATGATATGATAAATCTATATTTAAGATATTAAATATCAAATTTTAATTGAAAAAAGAATAGGATGAGGGAATACGGGACATACAAAATTTTTTGCTATTTATTTTAATGCAATTTATTAATACTGAGAAAAAAATTATATTATTTTAAAAATTGATATATATAGCAGTATATAACATATTAATTGATTTATATGTAACAATTCAACATGAAGCATTCAAGAAGTCGATTTGTATTTTCAAGTAACAGTCAATTCGTAATCGCGGATTGCACTGTGATAAAGATAAACATAAAATTTAATCGTTGGATGATCTTCCTCATTCATACATTTTGGATAACTGTTATAGTCAGTAGATATGTTGCTAGTTCTCACGATCCATTCACGAGTTACTTTCGCGAAATGAGTTTGCAGCAGGTGAGCTTGAGTTTTCTGCAAGAAGCTCTCGTCGCGATCGATTCAAATTCCCATAGTACAACGCGTACAGTTCGCTTTATTCTGTACTAAAGCGATGTATTCGTGATACAACTTCTTGATTTATAAACAACTGTGACAATTCTTTACGATTTTATGTACATTCTTATACAAAATAAAAAGATGATTTTGTCGAAGTATCTAAAATTTGGCTAGACACAGATCTGAAAATAATTTTACCAGTCAAAATAAGATTTGACTAGCATCTGATAAACATTGTAAAAAATGTTTCGTATTCTAATAAACAATTTGAACGTCTTACAAAATTATTTTGATGACTCAACAAGATTATTTTTAGATGTGTACTCGGCTAAATTTTTAGACTACATTTTATGAAACTTCTTTCCGTGCAATCGATTCTAAGTTACAGCTATCGCAGATGATTACTTAAACGAGTATATAAAAATTGTGTAAGATAACGTGCAAACGTGAACGTATCGATGGAAGAAATTCGCCTCCATCCCGCTAAGCGACAGTCTGTAAGGGGAACGAAGCGCGTCGGAACGTTTCTAATATCCTGTCTGTCAACGGGAGATGAGGTGAAAGGGCATCAAGGATCAGCATGGGCCGCGATAGCGAAATAGATTCGGCGAACGGAGATTCTGGAGGATCGCGAGGGATGATATTCTGTTCCCAATGAGTTGGCCCGAACAGTTACGAATATTAGATTAAACGCCGCTCGATCCCCTGTCATTAGCAGGATGCTCTAATCAAAGTCGATCCAAAGTTCGGTGGGTGGTGCGCGTCTTATTAAAGCAGAGACAACCCCTCCCCTTCCCCTCTTGGCGCTTCTTGTCCTGCCTCGCAGCCATTTATAGACTACCCGCCAGCTTATCCGCGTCGTTACTCGCCCGCGGGCGGCACCCCGTATTAAGGGATCATAGACGTGATGCGCGTTAAGTGTAATTCACCGACGAGATGCTGTAAGTGAATCACGCTCGTGTAACGCGCGGTAATCGACATCGATGTTGGTGCATTTCGGCTGTGCGGTCGTGCATTGCTATTTGCACTTAGATGCCTGGAGATTCTGGCGCATTCGCTCGCGCGCGCGAGGTACAGCTTCATTCTATTAATATTAATTGAGAGGAGTCATTTTGCATAATAGCCATTTCGCGAAAATTGGAAAACTGTATTAAGCGACGCGCGTTAAGACCGTCAGTAATCAACGACTTTTGCGCGCCACGATGCGTAATGTCGATTTCCATTGCGAGTCCATTCGTGTATTTATACTACTAATTACTCTCACTGTATTATATCTTTTTTACTGATTATTTTTTTCATAATTGTACAATATTTACAAGCATATTTGGGTGTCAATTTACATTCAATTTGCACAATCGCCATGTCGCAGAGCGAGAAAAAATTAACGATATATAGTGCTACTCATTTCTATAATTGTTAAATACTGAGCATTTACTTTATTGTTTGTCGGATTTGCATGAGGGGATTAACAAGGCGTCGCATTAGCTCATGATAATGAGAAATGTCGTACCTTAACAGAACACAAAGGAAGGAAGTTCCACTCCATGTCATAGTGCATAATCGTTGTACGATCTCATTATACGATATGTTTTCCACGGCGCCGTCGGTCCAGACGGTTTTCTTGGTGTTTCTTGAAAACGCATCAGAAACGACATGTCCTATTCCAAATGTCCTATTCACGCTACATTTCTCGTATTCATTCATAGACCATTAGTCTTTAACTGCAAGTTTGTAAGCGCATACGAGTTCATGTTAATCTTATCACTCGTGGATACAAAAGAAAAGGAAAGAGGCAGAGAGAAAGAAAAAGAGAGAGTGTCAATGAACAGCGTCTATAATTGTGATTTTGTTGTGACAAGATAATTAATTTCTTATAAAATTAAAGAGTTCCAAATATTCACAAGCTGTATATAATTATTTACGTGTTTTTTATTAAGTAAATTATGTGGAATGTGTTATGCAACCAAAAATTACGTTTTGTAATTATATTGTTTTCTTCTTACATATGAATTTTTATATAAGATTTTATGATATTTAACTTATTATAAAAATAAAAATCAAATATTTCATACAACATATCACAAAGTAATAAAGGATTAATTGTGACGACTATTTGTTACTCAATTTATTCTGGCACAATATATTCGAATTCAAGTATAAAAATTAATTACGCTCGTAAATATTGAAATTAAACAATGATTCATGATTTTCATTTCAAAAGAGTTAAACGCATGAAATATTTCGATGAAAATGTTACCTCGATATGCTTTCAAATTGTTCATTGTAAGAGTTATTTAATTGAGCAAAGTGATAATCGCTAATTATGTTCGTAGAGAACAGCACATTACATTTTTGGTATTTGTCGCAATTGTTTTTCGAATAATAATATGAAAATATGTGAAGCGATACGCATAGCCAATTGCTCATACGAATATCGGCGAAAGAATGTAACGCGTTGGCTTTGTGTAAAAAACGCGAAACATACCGTTACAATTATACTTACAATTAATCGCATATTAGCTGAGTTTGTTGTTTCGTGTTCCGAAATATGATGATAAAATATTATCATCAATAATATTTCACTTTTACTTCTCCAGTTAGTAGTGATCATTATGCAATAATTAATTAATTAAAAATGAAATTTACAGTTGGCTTATTATTATATTTATAAATTCATATTTACATATATTTACATAAATTACATACATATATTTACATAAATTACATACATATATTTACATAAATTATAAAACCTTATATATTATATAGTATTATACATATAATTTATAATAAATTTTGTTGTGTATTATCACATGGTAGAAATACATTAGTGAATTTACGATGTAAGGAGATTTGAAGTTTTCGAAGATTGAAAAGTTTGTATAATCCCCAAAGGATAAGTCGTGATTTGAAACTGTCGAGACAGCAATTTTTGTGAAACTTTTTGATACGTTTGTTGCGCGAAACGAAAACTCAAAACCTTTGAGGGGACCGGATCGGTTCTCCTATCGAAGATGAGATGAGTAGGAAACTCGCGGAAAATTCCGGTTAACCTAGATGAGCGTTGATGCGTACAAGCTTGGTGAGGTTTTTGCATTTTTCAATGCGGCCAGCCACACCGACAACTACTAGCGCGGCGAATTCCTGTTCGATTTCTATGCTGAACACGTCGAAGTTGCCACGGTTCAATGGAACAAAGAGAACCATGGTACTATTGGCGCTGTCGGGACGCTCGATCGATATTTACCGAGACATAACTCGATAGGGTACGCGAATGAACGTAATGCGCAATCCGTGTGATAACCCGCAGCTTCGGTTCATTGCAGTATCAAAACATTGAATAGACCCACTGCTGAACCGTATACGAGAAATTTGTCATCAAATAATTTCCTCGAACAACACAAAGAAACGTATCATTTGTGCAATTAATATTACGCACATCGGAAATGAAAACTAAAGACGCAGCTTCTTCCTATTCTCGCTATAGATTTAATATTACATGTTTCTAGAAAATAGAAATCTTTTGATATTATGTGTGTATATTAAACAGAGAATTAAAAAATTTAATCCGCAATCTAAAAAATGTATCATTTTTGGGGACCACTCTGTAGCGTAAATACAGAAAAAGCACATATACACACGAGAAACAAAGGAGTTAAATAAAATTTCAGACTGCCAGCGGCACAGGTGGTGTGGTTGGTAGTATATAACATTTTTTATTTTCTAAAAAATGAAGTTCCGAGCGTCTTGCTCATATAAAATTTTTCTTTTTCCGTTTTACCTCCGTTCTCTCATTTGGCAATTTGGTACGCAAACGCAGATAAAAGATGTAATTTTCGGCACAAACATTGCTCATGTAATTGCACGTTGAATTTGTTGTATTTAGAATCTTTCTCATTTTTCTTTTATAAAACATTGTGTTCTCCGCATATCCGAATTATTGACATTTAACTATCGATATCTCATGCGATGGATAAATTCACGGTCGTTCTTCTTCCTTTCTGCTCTTCACGTCGAAGTACGATGCGGGGAGTCGGAAATATTATGGAAATTACGTTTTGAGAAGAGGACGAGATGAGATCCTGTTACGGCGACTCGCAAATCGAACGCATTAAAAGTCCATTATCGGTTGCTACGAGAAACAGAGACAGAGACAGAGACAGAGACAGAGACAGAGACAGAGAGAGAGAGAGAGAGAGAGAGAGAGAGAGAGAGAGAGAGAGAGAGAGAGAGAGAGAGAGAGAGAGAGAGAGAGAGAGAGAGAGAGAGAGAGGAGGATGAGTGAGGGTAGTGGACCAAAACATCAAGGAAGATTTAATTGGTTATAGTCCAATACACAAGTCCTACTTGTTTAACTCTAACGTAACAATTTGCTTGATAAGAGATCACAATTTAAGATATTTAAGAGATTTATTTAATATTAATTTATTTATTATTAATATTAATTATTTAATATTAATTTATTTATTATTAATAATTAAATAACAAACATAATTGAAATAACAGTAATTCAGTTACTGACTTTTATATATGCTCCAATGTTCATATTTTACAGACGAGAGTAAATAATTTTAAGTTTTTTTAGAAAGTGTAATAATATAAACATAAACTAAATTTACGCATATATATTTTAATTTCTAGTATTAATAATAATTTTATTTGTAAATTTTGAGCTTTACACATTTCACAAATCAAAATGCTATTTCACTTGGCTCCTTTAAGTAATTATTGATTTATTTTAGAATTTTTCTTGCATTCTTTCTACAAAATAATATTTATCATACTTTTATTTTCCATATTCAAAAGATCACGTTGAATCTTTTTTTTTTTTACTTCTCTTTCCACTTAATGGATACAATAAACGAAACAAGATGATTAGCCCTATTAACGTAACATATAGTATTTCTCGTAGGGCTCAATTTCCCCGATTATGTGCTTAAGGAAGGGCGTTTAGTTCGACTGAAACGTTCTGTCTGTGAAAGATAAGGGTAGTCACCCCTCGAGAAGAAGGATTCGACAATCTGCTAGGTATGATTCCATTATCAAATATATCTTTCATCGTGAATATAAAAGAATATAATTATAAAAAAATTTAAATAAGCTAAATTTAATTAAAATTTTTTGCATCTGTTCTAACTAGAATATTTTTTATTTAATAAAAAAAGTCTTTTATTTAAATAAATTACAAAATGTTATATGTTTAATTAAAGTAGAAATAGAAAATGTAAAATTTTTTAATAAACTAATTATTTGTAATTTCGGAGGATTAATTAGTTTATATTCTTTTATTTAAATAAATTACAAAATGTTATATGTTTAATTAAAGTAGAAATAGAAAATGTAAAATTTTTTAATAAACTAATTATTTGTAATTTCGGAGGATTAATATTTATAATTTGGAAAGAGTATGAAACATTCCTTATCACAAAGCTGTATTGTATAAAATCAAGGTACTTGGAAATATTTTGCTCGATATTAATACGTGTATGTCAAAAGCATTTCTTTCTCCTCGAAAGTTTACAAAATGAACGCTAAAGCGTGCGATCGATGGAAACCTTCAATCCAATCACCGAGAGCTACCCCTCTGAAATTCGAAACGTTCTCTCAGGATCGATGTCGTACTCACACTCGCTGTGTGTCGTCGTGCTAGATAGAGCGTGTATAGAGAAAGCAAGGCGTACATACATACATGTATATGTATATATAGGTGCGCACCCTGCACATCCAGAGAGATGCGAAAATCACTATAAGCTTAAGTATATGTGTCTGCTGGATAGGGTAGTATGTAGGGCGTTATCAACGTGCACCACATTGGTCCGAAGGCCGAAATACGATTTCGTACTTTGTTCTCGCGCGGGGCTCACGATAATTGCGCAGAATTACGCCGCTTAGATTACACCGGAGAGTGCCTTCTTTGACGTCGGGACCGCTCGAATGCCCTTCGGCAAAGGCGAAGCAAATTCGGAGGCGATGGGCGCGAGTAATTGGTGCAGTGAGGCTGAAGCGAATGAGAACGGAGGCCGGAATTAGATGTTCTTATGTAACGTCGAGAAAAGGAGAAAGCTGATATTTTTCGTATCCTCATGGGTTCGTAGTGTAAAAAGAGATAGAAAGAGAGAAAAAGAGAACGCCGTTCCTCATGGCTCCAGGACGAAACGAAGTAGCGCAAAATACCTTGATGAAAGAATTATTTATTAAAGACCGGCGTGTTTCACACGGAACGCTGGCTCTCCAAGGAACCTTTCCTTTGCAAAGTTTACGTTTCGCTTCGCACGATAGACCAGGTTACAAAGAAAGTCTGCAAACTGTCTTATTGCGTATATATAATTAATGTAAATAGCACCAAACTAATATCAAATCTAATATCTTTTTTTAAATAAGTAGTCATATATATATATTCTTTTAATCAATTTTTTTTTTTAATTGATATTGAGATAGTAAGCTTGCTACAATCAAGTGTATTTTAAGATCTGTTCAATATTTTGCATCTCGTCATGTTAAAACCCCCCCCCCCCATCGGCGTATATGTCAGACAGCTGTTTCAAGAGAAAACAGAGCGATTTCACAGCATTAATTTAATAGAGCCAACCGTTGAGAAGCTGATGTTTGCACTGTAAGCCTGCCTACGTGACTTCCGTTAAAGATGTCGGCTTATTTTCTTCCGACACCGCTTATACTGGGCAAACAATTGCATTAAAATCTGTTTGAAACGATTCGGTCCCCTATCGTCGGATTTCAGCAATTTTCCATTATGATTACCAAGGTAATTTTATCAATCTAATCAACAGAAACGTGACAGACTTTGATGCAACGAACACTTGCAACACTTATTTTTTCGTTTTACTGTCCATTAAAATAACGCTCTCGCGAAGTCTCCCCTAGCGTATCATTTACTTACATAAACAACACATTTAATACAGAAAGATAAATCACTGGGGGTCATTCGCAGAAAATATCGACGATCGTAGGCAGGGCGAGTATCTAATAACGATACATATACCCGACGTACATATACTCGAAATATTTATATCTCCATTTCGGGACGACCAAGAAACTACCCCTTATTGTCGTGAGGGCTGTGACAGAATTTATTTTGAGTTAACAAACTATCATGACCAGGAATGGAAAGAATTTATAGTTTATTAGCTTGGAGCTGGCTGGGCAGCTATTGGGCTATTGGGCAAAGTCCATTTAAACTTCGCTGGCATCGGGAATAGGATAATAAAGAAAAGGAAGACGAGAGAAAAAAAGAAGAAATAGGGATAGACTTCGCACAGTATAGAAAAGTATAGAAAAGTATAAAAGAGTTTCAAGGATATGAAATTGGAAGTTGAAAATATCTTTTAATATATAAAATCGTGTTTTCAGTAATAAATAAATGATTATACAAGTATAAATATAAATACTTAAAAATTTTTCTTTTATAAAATTCAACATTTAGTATCTCAGTTTTTCAATATCTTCCGTATCTCTTACACAAGATTTCTTTTTTCTTTCTCTTCTTGTATGTAGCATGTCTATATACAGAACTCAATATTTCCGATGTCATCAGTCCACGTGTATGTTTTATCGCGAAATATTTCCAATATTGCACGCTATCAAATCCTCTCGCAGATCCCTCTTCGAACGAAGCAACAGAAACTAGGCGGAACGCGTGGATGGCAATCGGCCAAAAATTATGCATTCCATCCGTTTGATCGCAAACAGCAATTTACAGCCATTTACTACGTCCTTGAGACCGGAAGATCATTCTTCCGAAGGAAGTGTAGGATTGGCTGAAACGCGTCATAGCCCACCACCCCCCCCCCTCCCTCCTCGTTGGAAATTCGTCGTGGCTGGCGGATCGCGTTCACCCTTGATGGCTTGATAGAGAAGGAGTCGCATGGACAGGAGGGACGATCTTTTACGAGCTCTTGGCTCGCTCGAAATTTGTCTGGATGCCACCCGGGTATCTCGGGCGTCGTCGGTTTTTCTTGGCGCGCCAGGAGTTAGGGTTCGTCGAGAGACAGGAAGTAGTAAAAGAAGCTCGACCGTCTCCTTTCTCCGTGTTCTTAAACCGTCGGTGTATATCGACGCTTCTTTCCTTCTTCACCCTTGCCCTACGCGATACTCTCTCGTTTACTGTTCCCGATAGCCTCTCGTGTCTCGCTAGTAAATCCGTTGCTCCACCAGTCGCATTATTCTCGTCTGAACGAGAACCGTCCGAT